AGTTGCCAGACCTCACTCCCGTAAGTTACGATACTCTTCACGATGACGTTGTAAATTTTCCTTTTGGTCTCCTTGGAGATACTCTGGTCCCAGAGAACCCCATTTAGCATCGCGATAGCTTTCCTGCCTTGCACATTCCGATCTTTAATGGCCCGATCCAAATTTCCGTCCTTAGTTAACCAAACTATATTACCTCTTCAATATTTCATGAGGGAAACGAATCACTTGACAAGACAATCTTAAAATCAACTCCTAAACAAGAAATCATTGTTTACAATTAAAATTTATTAAATGCCGATACTGCAAATGACGTCATTTGTGTGATGCAACTTCCCTTTTCATCTACATAAACCTTGCATAGAAGTTAATTTCCGAACTTTGGTCAGAGAATGTATCGCGATTTTATCGACGTATCGCAGTTTCATCGGATAAATTTGCAATGAAGTCGCGATTTTATCGACGACGATTTATCGCAATATTATCGAACATCGTGATGAGTTGAGATAAAATTTCGATTTCATCGAGCGAACTGCGGATTGACCTTGTTATATCATAAATTTCTGCATATATGTTTAGAGAAGGGGCCGTCCACAAATTACGTGACGCACTTTTTTGACATTTTCTTGGAGATAAAATTGCGACAAGATTGAGGATAATCGCTCAGACATTGATGGCGATTTTATCGCCAAAAATCGTAATAAGTCGCGACTGAATTTCAAAATATCGCAATTTTTCCGTTGAAAAATGCTACTTGGGAGACTTTGTCTAGCGGTGGCTTATTATATTGAAAGCAATGAGACCATACCTGACAATACAGATTGACTTGGATGTGTATTATTTTCTGCATGTAAGTTTAGATTAGGGGCCGTCCACAAATTACGTGCCGCACTTTTTCGACATGTTTGACCCCCCTCTCACCTTGTATGCTTTTGTGACGTAGATCCCAATATCCTTTACCACGCAGAAAAAATGGCGTATCTCTCTGCTCGACTCCCCCCTCACTCTCCTAGAACGTGACGTAATTTATGGACGGCCCCTTAGCATTTTTTCAGTTAAAAATAAATCAGAATAAAGGAAGGAAATCACATAATATTTTTACCGAATTAAGGATGTGAGGCAACATACATTCTGTACCTACTTATTGCGTCATAATCGACCGAGTAAGAATCGTCTTGAATGCGCCCCACCGGCACGGTTTTTTTCAGAGAGAACTCATGCTTTGGCTTGGTTTCAACGCTCACGCCTATCGGTTGATTCTGTTTTCTCTCCTGGAACAACCCCAGTAGCGGGGTAATTTTCATTCCGATTCAGTAGTTGTTATTAACCCTTTGACATGATGAAAAATTATTGTTCCACCTTCCACACCTTGGGGTGCGGGAGCGACCTGCCCTCCGCTAAAAATTTACAGCAGCGCAGTCTCAGGGAAAAATTATTAGCTTCATTCGCATGAATCACATCAGACATGAAATTGGATCGGTCTAAGTAAAGAAAATGCGGGCACCAGGGGCGAGGTGTGAATGAACGATTATCGAAATTTCCTCATTTTCAGCTATGGTAAAGAATCGATTATTGAAGTGTTCGCTGCGAGCACCCTGTTTATCGATCCTTTTCCACATGTTTAAATGACTGATCAATCGATATATCGCAAAGCACGCCACGCCATTGGTGCCCACATTCTTTTACTTAGACCGATCCGATTTCATGTCCAATGTTAATCACAAGGAAAAAATTTGACAAACTTCTCTATCCTCTTTAAAAAATATAAAGATCACATCCATCTGCCACATACCATCTGGTTTTCTGTTTATATTCTCTTAAAATTGGTTTTCTAATGGCAGAATTTGATAAAAACGAATTTATGAAGCGACTCACGACCACTGTGCCACGCAGGCTTTCATCGTGCCCATCGAGAGACAAGTAATTTTCTGCCTTTTCAACGTTCACCTCCGCCCAACGTTTACTCGAATCCGCCACTTCCGTTTCCTGTTCCTCATTTCCGGTCTGCCCGAAATTCTGCTCTCTGAGGGTCAAATTATCAACGTGAGCTGCGCCAGATTCGTGGCTTGATTCGGCTGCCACAGCACAGAGGCAGACGTAGACGAATATGAGGCAAAGATAGCATAGTTTTAAGACAAGCCCTGGAGAAAAAAATCCAAAAAAAAAATAAAAAATAAAAAAAAAATAAATAAAAATGAAAATCGATACGATAATCTTGAAAGGACTCGGATGGCCTCATGAGAAAATAAATAGGCTAATTGCGGGTCACACCACAAAATTTGATTTCTATACTTGAATTTCATAAATGAGCAAAATATACTGAATATGAGAATGGACTTCTGTTTAAACAAAAAGCAACTGTGTTAAATGTTAACGTAGACTTTGCCCTTTAAAAAATGGTGGTTTTTATGACTCCAATACCTTTCTCCGTCCTTGTCCACATTGGAAGTAGCGTTTGAATCGTGATTGATAAACAATTTTGAACTGTTTTTTTTAAAAAAAACCACTTGCGACGATTTTAATCGTCGATTAAAACTCGTTTTTTATTAAAAATCGTAGCAAGTTAGTTTGTTAAAAAAATTTAAAATTGTTTATCAAATTTTTACCCACAAATTCTGTTTATAACGTCATCCACCGCGATAATGACACCTTTGGTTTCTTCCACCATGCTTTCATCCGAGTAACACGTTGCGTAACCAGAGGAAATAAGTGTTTCCTTGACTGATGAAAGCAAGGTGGAAGGAACCAGGGGTGTCACGACTGCGGTGGATGACGTCATAAACCGAATTTTTCAAAGCGAGATATCTCGGTTAATATTCAACGTAGAATGTTGCTGTTTTTACAGAGCTTATTATTTTGAGCTAATCTGCGAAACTTAAACCCCAAACCACGATTCTATGATCAGTGCAAGTGACCCATTATTACTGCGCATAGTCGGAGTTTTCTCTTTTTTGTTCATGAAAAAAATTGCTCATTATTCAGGTGTATTTAATCTCAGAGATTTTCCTCTGTTAACAGAGGAATCTAGGAAGAAAAGAACATTGAAATATTAAGGCCGCAGGCTGTTCAAGCTCGCTGATATAACGTAATTCGAAACATACAACTGGCGTGGCTCGATTCTCATACTTTCCCTTCATTTGGTATAAATTATAAAATGAGAACGTAATTATAAGCTTTCAGATATTCAAAGAAAACTGAGCAGAATAATTCAATCCGCGATAACACTAGAGTCGAAAGAGTTTCATCTAAAACATTATGACTTCGTAATTTCAAATGGAAAGCGCTAACTCACTCTTCATGAACGACAGTTTTTCCGTCGATCTCAAATGTGTGCCAAGTTGTTGACGAATTTTCAGCTTTTCAGCGCCAGACATGGTGGGAAGGAAACGGAGGTTTTAACAGAAAACTATTATTGTTCATGGCCGCTCTATTTTCGTATTAACGAAGAAATTCATACTCCTTGTGCCTGATAAAGCTGAACCACTTACCGACTTGTCTCTAGTTCTCAATTCAAAATACTGAACTGATTAGATCAATCCTATGCATCCGCTCGATGTAAGCGCATTTCGTAACACTTTGAATGTAATTAATTCTTATCTTTTCCATGTAAACAATGAGGCTATCTAAATCTTCCGTACTACATTTTACTCTGAAATGGTAGCCACTGTATTTACAAGTAAAAGCCTGCCCTCAAAAATTTTGGGACGATAAAATAGAGTAACGCCTAATGCCATGCGCAAAGAATCGATTTTTAGGTGAACCATTACATCGCATTATCGAACCGATTGTTGAAATCGGTAGACAAAGCGATACACAGAAAAGACCCATCATCGAAAAAACCAAAACAAAATGCCGCCATTTTGGGCTCTAAGGCCTTCATGGAACGTGGAGAGGCGTCATTTCCATATTCTCTCTATTAAGGTACTCTATAGGTTACCGTAGTTTTCGGTCATATTATAGGAATCGAATTTCGACACGCTGCATGAACTATAAATCTCGGTTACTGCGACCGTTAAGGTAAGACGAACAGGAAAAATTACCGTACTTTTTTCTCCGTGTACACACATGATTCAAAGGACGTATTTCTACCAGACAGAACAATGTGCGGATGGCAAATATGGGGTGTGCTCGTTAGTTCTCGAGTGAATGGGAATCATAAAGCTCCAATGACGTCAGCGGTGATGACGGGAGCGATCCCGAGGAGCTTCGCGGTCTTTAACTCATGAGCCCTGCCCACAACGCTCTTGTACCATGCCCACGGCTCATGAGTCCCGCATACAGTTGGCACATAGTTCCGTTATGTGAATTCAAAATCCCACATACATAAAGCCGCTTTCATAGCGCAGCCTCGCGCTCTGCGACGCCCGATCGCCATTGCCCCCTATCCTCCCAGAGAAATCCCGCCTAAAATCCCGCTTTTCCAATTCTTCAAAAGTGATCAAGGAATCAAGCCCACTTTTACATTGTTCCTTATCCAGCTTACTACGAGCACACCCTATCTTTCCCACCCGCACATAATTCTGTTCGGTGGAAATATGTCCAAACGAGATTCGTAATTAAACGGTCAGTGATAAATTGGCGAGCGTGCGTCTTAAAAGCGCGAAGGATCGGTGGCTAGGTTGATACCTCATTTGAACGTATTTCTATCAAACGGAACTATGTGCATTATGACGTGAGCCCTGTTATACGTGTATTCTTATGGGTCTCAGGGCTCATGTCTGAATGCACATAGTTCCGTTTGATAGAAATACGTCCATTTGAACTTTGCGGTGGTTCCTGGGGTTTTTGGCGCCCGCATGGTTTACCCCCGTAGCCTCTCCTGCTCGCGTCGCCTTTCCATTCTGCCGTGCTAATGAAGAGCGCCGTATAAGCCTTCAGACGTTGCCAAGTTTCCTACGATAAAAACCGCGAATTTTCTGGGAAAATTGCGAATATTATTTTCCAAAATTTTCAAACATTGTTGTACGCGATTTAATCTACAATATCTGAAAATCTCGAGGAAAAAAATGTATGAATGTTGTCAAAAATACATGTTTTATTGGCGGAAATTTTGCAACTCTCGAATGCTCATACGGCGTTGTTCCTTAGGACGGGAGCATTGATAACACGCGTGTGATGAGCCGGGAGCAAATAGGTCCCGACACTTGACCGCGCTTCGCCATTCATCTATGTCTGCGGTCAGTGTGCACGTCAGAGCGTAATTTCCTCTCGGCACCCTCAATGAAAACGGATTAACCCAGATTAAGTTTATCCATTCTTGTTAATGATTCATGTCTCCCCGCCAGGCCAACAACACCCTCGAAATTTCTCTTTGGGAACCAAATCCTTCGCTGGGCGCTGGTCATAATAATCGATTATTCTTTAACATAGCTCTAAATGCGATCAGATTTTGGACAGTCGGAATCCGTGAAGATTCAGCTTAAAGTCAGTTTTTTCAGTTAAAAAAGCGTCGTTTTTTCATCGTTAAGTTCAATAAGTTAAAAAACCTATACCAAACCAAGATTTCTTTAACTTAAAAAAACCAATTTTATCGACAAAAAATAACGCTTTAAGTCAAAATAATATGCCAAGAATAATCCCCTCCAGCGGTTGCCATAAATGATTATGTTCCCTGATCACCTTGGTAAAAATTGGCGATAAGAGCTGCGTCTCAAAATACCATAGGAATTCTTATAGCCTGCTAAAGAAGGCTACAGAAAATCATATAGCTGGCTGTAGAATGCGGTGAAAATCATACGGCCGGGCTATACGAAGCGATAAAAAATTATGCAGCCGGACTATGCCTATAGCCGGGCTTTACACTTTATCTTCTGTCTGTTGCCTTTTCGCCATCGATTATAAAAGGCTACAAGAAATTGTATAGAAATTCGTGTGCTTTGGAAATCATTTTTGATACGGAACCACCTTAATATTTACAAAACACACGTTATATTTTCTTTTAATACATATTTTATTTCATCAATTAAAACGAGAATAATCCATACAGGAGATGCAATCATTTCAAAGTCATGAGTTGAAAAACGCTGACTCCCCGAGATTAAATATAAGAGCATAACACAAAGCGGAGTGGCGGCGCACCGGCGCCTACAAACCTAACAAGGATACTTCACGCATTGCGCAACGCGTGAAGTATCCCTGTTAGGTTTGTAGGCGCCAATGCGTGTTTCGCGCTGGCTGCCCGCCTGCCACGGCGCTTGAAGCAACTATTTCACACCAGAAGTATTGCACAGTATCGTACGAAATTGAAGGCGCTTCAACATATTAGGAATGACAGGCATCCATCAAAAGCACGGAGCTTGCCTCACAAAATAAATTAAGATACTACGGCCCAAAAAGACAGTAGTATACCATAAACTCACTAAGTCCTAGCATCTGTAATTAGTGACGTTCAGCATACACTTTATCGCCTGGCTCTGAGTTGCTTAGTCGCCATCGGGTATAAAAGGCTATAAGAAATTGTGTAGCCGGCTATAGAAGCTATTGGAAATTTTACAGCCGGCCGTAGGTCTACGGTATTTTGGAACACAGATTTCTACTGCCATTTTTTACCAGGGCGGAGGGCTGCAGTGTAGAGATCAGTCTGCACAGTTAAAAGTTCAGTGTTTACGGCTACTTTGGGTTATTTCGAGTTTTTCGTTCACAATCAGATCAACCCAAAGGACTGGTTCATCCACATCTAAGTTAATTCGACCGAGACCGTGCGTTACTCTGCGGGCTGATTGTTGATATTGGTAAACAAAGCTATAGACGAAAAAGACAAAAAGGATATCAAGACATTCTATCCGTGGATACGGGGTGGTTGCAATGGACAAAGGAGGTAGGTAATGGACTAATTGGCGGCAACCCACGAGAGACACTTTCGTTAGTCCATCATTTTCTCCCTTAGACTATAGGAACCCCTTATTTAAACCTATAGGATCGCTCCATACTCCCAAGGTCTTCTTTGTCTATCGACTAGGCGATGTGATAGACTTTGATATAGCCCAACAATCAGCCCGCTAGTGCATTTAGGGATGAAAAGAGTGTGCTGCTGAACATATGGACCGCGTTGAGCAGAAAGGGGCCAAGCCACATCAGCTATTGCCAAATGTAGCTGTACAATTTAATGTTTTCCAAGAGAACGTATGTGCGGATTCCTTTGAAAATTTTAGGGAGTTTTCTCCGTACTATGCAGAAAATTGACTGAACTTTGCATACAAATCCGCACAACTTTTTTCATTTAAAAAAATGAGCAACCCAGTACGATTAGGCAATTTTTGATGTGGCTTGGTTTCTTTCCGCTCAACGCGATTTAAATGTACTTTTGCATCTCTCTACGTCACTCAGAGGCTGCGACTTTTATTTTTACGTATTTCGGAACGCGGATCCCTTTAAATTAAATGGACTGCATTTTGCAATTTGGAACTATAAGTTCTGGCCCGGTTTAAAAACAACGTATGAGCCATTAGCACATAAGTGTTTTTTCAGATGAGCCAGAATTTATAGTTCCAAATTGCAAAATGCAGTCCAAATATAGACATCTATAAGACTTATGGTTTGTCAAACACGTGTTTAAATCCCTCAGTTGATCACTGGAGAGACTGTACGATAACTTCTCTCATGATACTCTCAAAATAAGCTTGAGAGTCTCGTAAGTGATGCAATGCAGACCGAAGCCATGAACGAAGTCTCCCCTTGATGGCAAGACGCACTACCGGCAGGCTTTCGTCGTGTTTCATCTTCGTGTTCTTCGGGCAAAAAAGAAGGACTTGAGCGCGTCCTTTTCATCAGGAATTTTGTTTTCGTTTTTTGTTTGCTTCCAACGGAACTGTTATTTTTTTTCGTCTCCTTTGATGTCATGTCTTTCTGGTCCCTGCAGGTTCTTGGCTCATGCCGTGGTGCCATGTATTACGGACTTTTCCGGAAAGTTTGTCACATTGCGGGATGATAATACACCTCGTTAAGTTACCTGTACTGACCTAAGGCTCCACAACGCATACTACTTGTCATTGATCATCGGGTTTGACGTATACCGACGATTCGATGGCCTTTTTCGCGCATAACCAAGATTGCAACACCGCATCACCTATGTGCCCAGAGGCAATACACAGTTCGATCCAGAGTTTTACGGCCATACTGCAGGAACCGTGTTTTTTGGGTCAAAATTGGACTGTTTTCCTGTGCAGTTTTTCTCAAAATTTAGTTAGTGAGTGAGTTTTTGAACCACTGCTCTCTTTTTGGGCCGTAGTATCTTGATTTATTTTGCGAGGAAAGCTCCGTACTTTTGATGGATGCCTGCCATTCCTAATATATTAGAGCGCCTCCAATTTCGTATGATACTGTGCAATACCTCAGGTGTGAAATAGTTGCTTCAAGCGCCGTGACACGCTGCGGTGCGGCAGGCGGGCAGGCAGCCAGCGCTGAACGCGCATTGCCGCCTGCAAACCTAACACGGATACTTCACGCGTTGCGCAATGCGTGAAGTATCCCTGTTAGGTTTGTAGGCGCCAGTTCGTCGCCGCTCTGCTTTGTGTTAGGCTCTAATATTTAATCTGGCGGAGTCAGCGTTATTCAACTCATGATTTTGAAATGTTTGCATCTCCTGTATGGATTATTCTCGTTTTAATGGAGAATTTGCAAGGGTCTGAAATTTGATGAATTTCCTGTTTAAGTGGAATCCTCTGAGTGAACTGAACACAAAGATACCCTTGATTCATAAATTGAGCAATTATTAGAGGAGATATGACAAAATAACCTGATCTTCTAAAATACATGTGTTTAAATGAGAAATGCCGCCAGATGACGTCACAAGGCGGCACATTTTCTCACTTTTAAATAAATTTTTCTCCAATTTCCCATGTCAGAAAAAAATTATGAAAAATATTGCGAACTCAGCTCATTAGGCACTTTCAGATGAAGCAATAAAAAAACTGCGTGCAAATTCTCCATTGATGAAATAAAATATGTATTGAAAGAAAATATAACGTGTGTTTTGTAAATATTAAGGTGGTTCCGTATCAAACTTAATGATTTCCAGAGCACACGAATTTCTACACAATTTCTTATAGCCTTTTATAATCGATGGCGAAAAAGCAACAGACAGAAGATAAAGTGTAAAGCCCAGCTATAGGAACTATAGCCCGGCTGCATAATTTTTTATCGCTTCGTATAGCCCGGCCGTATGATTTTCGCCGCATTCTACAGACAGCTATATGATTTTCTGTAGCCTTTTATAGCCGGCTGTAAGAATTCCTATGGTATTTTGAGACGCAGCTCTTATCGCCAATTTTTACCAAGGCGATCAGGGAACATAATCATTCATGGCAACCGCTGGAGGGGATTATTCTTGGCAAATTATTTTGACTTAAAGCGTTATTTTTTGTCAATAAAATTGGTTTTTTTTTAGTCAAAGAATTCTTGTTTTGGTATAGGTTTTTTAACTTATTGAACTTAACGATGAAAAAATGACGCTTTTTAACTGAAAAAACTGACTTTAAGCTGAATCTGCACGGATTTCGACTGTCCAAAATCTGATCGCATTAAGAGCTATGTTAAAGAATAATCGATTATTATGCTGATCGTTGCAAACATCCTGTTAATCGACAGTTTTTCAAAGGTTTAAATGGCAGATTGATCGATGTATCGCATCAAAGTACGCCACGCCACTGTCTACGACACAAGATCATCTGATCGTCTAGCGTTAGTTTAGCATTGAAATTAAATGCAATAATGAAGATGGCGGATAACGTGCATACGTTTATTTTGCACTGTATTCTATTAATTAACAACAAGAGGCATTTTTAAATAATTAAAGGTGTAATAGCTTGGGTAATATTTTCTAGCTTTGATGAAAACGGATTTCTCTTCTGTTGCAGGTTGCAGTTAATGATGGGGGCCTCCCTGAAAATATCTTTTCGCCAGATGCCGAGGAGACACTAATATGTGCTCTATAACTATTATCAACTTTAGGTTGAGAAACATTTTAGCAAAGGTGAGCAAACTGTCTAATGTTCTGGCAATTTATCGTTGAAAAGTTGTTGTCACTTTCACTAATAATTTACGAATTAAACTACTTGACACATTATTGTATAGCGTTGCATCAAAGAAACAAGCGGTTCTCGGCTTTATTAGTTTGGTGTCGCAGTAAACTTCATCGAAGCAACATTTTTTTTTCCTTTCTTTTTTTTTTTTTTGATGGGGGTCCGTGAATTGGAAGTCTTGATTTCCCAAGTACCAAAAAGAAGAAAATATTTTCGAATCCTTCATTTCTCCAAAAGCCGAATAAATGCAGATTAGATATGCTTTTCTCAAAAATCGGTGATTAACTTATTGAAATAAAAAGTTAAGATTATTATAAAAAGCAGCTCCCATGAAAAACCAAAAACCGAGATTTCTGACAGCAAGTTGGCTCTCTGGCCGTGCTTAGCAACTTAAGTTAAGGGTTTTTTTGCCTGACTCCATCATCCCATCCGTTTTCACCCCCAGAGTCTCTCCTTTGAAACCGTCGTTTTCCGGACGAAAGAACGTAACTCCATTCCAAGGTTGCCAAATTGACTCAAACAATCAATTTATTTTACAAACATGCACATGTGCAATTTCAGTCAAAATTCAGCTGATTTTTGCATGGGATCTGAGTAAAAATTAGTGAACTTTTCAGTCAGGAATGCCCATGATTCTCCTAGTTAAAAAGCAAATTACGAGGGGAACTTCGGCAATATTGAAATGGAGTTAGGTTCTTTCGTGAAGGAAACGACGAAATGTCTCGGAGAGTCAGCTCTCTCCGATGCCCGAAACCATCCAATCAAGGCACGTCTCTCCGTTTTACTCACCGAAAGTTCGCCCGCGATAATATGGAGCGATGGAGCCGTGAGGCCATTTATTCCGACCCAGTTAAATGAGCGTCACTCGAGTTTTTCTCCGCCGCGCCGCTGGCGTTTCCTGACTGAAATCGACGGGAAACGTGCTTTTCTCCGTGAAAAAGTCTCTGATCTTGGCGAGCAAAATTTTTGATGTAAAAACAGCGAAATGATTTATTGCCGCGCTCCAGTTCGCTTTGCCACCGCGAGGCAAGGCTGACCGCAATGATAAATAGCGCCAGTGCGGTCACTCAGACCAACACGTTTCCTTCCTCGCATTAAAAATACACGCTGGAGAGTGTTCGACGAGGGATTTCCTAGCTTCCCTCCGCGCTCTTCCACCACGCGCCGGGTCTCTCCAGAGAGATTTCAATTTGTCTCGCATTTTTAGATTCCTAGAGCTCAGCAATATACCAAGAGGCGAGGTATGAATGAGGCACCAGACAGTGCTTCGTTTCCCGCACCAAGAAACGTAACTCAATTTTAACGTTGCAAAGACTCAAATAATCCATTTTTTCCCCGAGAATGTACCTGCATAATTTTCCTCCAAAATGTGTATGAATTTTGCATGAGATCAGATGTGAAATTAGTGAAATTTTCCGTCAAAAATTCTCAACATTTTTCGGGTAAAAACGCAATTTGCACGGCAAATTTGGACGCACTTTTGCTAAGAGGAACTATGTGCAAGTGGAAAGATGAGGTGAGCTCGTGGAAGCTGGATAAGAAATAATGTAAAAGTGGATATAGTTTCTGTTGAGAAAATGGAAAAAGCGGGATTTTCAAAATAAATCAAAAGGAACTGAGCGCTAACTCGTGAGCCATGGGCATGTGATAAGAGCCTTGCGGACAGGGCTCATGAGTTAAAGACCGCCTCCTCGATCGTTGTTTCTCTTGTCGATGCCGCTGACGTCACTGGCGCTTTATACTTCCCATTCATTTTTATGGCTCGAGCACCAACGAGCACACCCCATCTTCCCATTTGCACATAGTTCCATTTAGCGTAAATACGTCCATTTGGTCACGCATTCAAACCAGTGGCGTGGCGTGCTTTACGATATATCGATTGACCTGTCATTTAAAACTATGGAAAAGGATCGATTAACAGGGTGTTCGCAGCGAACACCTTAATAATCGATTCTATACACAGCTTCAAATGGGGAAATATCGATAATCGATCATTCACGCCACGCCACTGATTCAAAGGTAGTTACGTTTTTTTCTGAGAGAAACGACGAACGTACCTCCTGAAGCACTACGTTCCGCTCCTCGGAAAATCATTCACGCGACGAGAAATTCGGTAACTAACTATTAGAGAAGTTATGAGATTTTATAACTAACATTAATCAAATGTACAGTAATACAAATGACGTCTATTGCATGATTTTGTGTTCTTTTCGATTGGTGTTAGGTGTACATGTTAACTCCTCGCTGAAAATTGGTTGCACTGCAGTTGCATCCAGTTGCACCCTGGTAAAAATTGGCAGTAGAATCTGTGTTCCAAAATACCATAGACCTACAGCCGGCTGTAAGATTTCCAATAGCTTCTATAGCCGGCAACACAATTTCTTATAGCCTTTTATAGCCGATGGCGATTAAGCAACAGCATGGCGATAAAGTGTATGCTAAACGGGGCTAATTGGATTACATTTTGCAATAAGGAACCGCTATCTCTGGCTCCTCAAAAAAATCACATAACTGCATAGGGAGACTAATGGCATGCATGTACGCTGTTTCTAAAATTGGCCAGAAATAGTGGTTCCTTATTGCAAATTGTAATCCAATTACGGATGTTAGGACTTAGTGAGTTTTTGGACTACCGCTCTCTTTTTAGGCCGCAGTATCTTGATTTAATTTGCGAGGAAAGCTCCATTTTTTTGAAGGATGCCTGACATTCCTAAGATGTTGGAGCGCCTTCAATTTCGTATGATACTGTGCAATACCTCTGGTGTGAAATAGTTGCTTCAAGCGCCGCGGTGCGCTGCGGCGCGGCACGGCGGGCAGGCAGCCAGCGCTGAACGCGCATTGGCACCTGCAAACTTAACAGGGATACTTCACGCATTGCGCAATGCGTGAAGTATCCTTGTTAGGTTTGTAGGCGCCGGTGCGCCGCCACTCCGCTTTGTGTTACGCTCTTATATTTTATCTCGTGGATTCAGCGTTTTTCAACTCATGACTTTGAAATGTTTGTACACTCTGTATGGATTATTCTCATATTAATTGATGAAAAAAAATATGTAGTAAAGGAAAATATAATGTGCGTTTTGTAAACATTAAGGTGATTCCTTACAAACTTAAGGATTTACAAAGCACAACAATTTCTACTCAATTTCTTATAGCCTTTTATAGCCGATGGCGAAAAAGCAACAGTCAGGCGATAAAGTGTAAAGCCCGGCTATAGGAACTATAGCCCGGCTGTATAATTTTTTATCGCTTCGTGTAGCCCGGCCGTATGATTTTTTCCACGTTCTACAGCCAGCTATATGATTTTCTGTCGCCCTCTTCAGTCGGCTATAAGAACTCCTATGGTATTTTGAAACGCATTTCTTATCGCCAATTTTTACCAGGGCATGTATAGCTTTCCACGTTTTTTGAAGATGTGTACTCTACATTATGCTTGTTAAATCTCCATCGTGACTGAGTCAGGCAAAAGGGCTTTCAAAAAAGGAAAACAAATATGATATATTTATACCACATCTTATGAGGGATACTTTTTATTATCAAAGGACGCCTTAAAAGTCTAAAAATAAACCTTCTATGAGCATTACAAAGCAAAACATTAACCGGGAATTTCAGATAAGTCCTATTTGTGTATCTTGCTATTCGTAGAAACGATTAATTGTGATCTCTCATAAATTCATTAATGTTTCAAATTGGATTGCATTTTGCAAAAAGGAACCAAGAGGATTCCAATTTTGCTAAGATTGTGCAACTTACAACCTTTGTAATATAATCGCTTACATTATGTAAAAAGTTAAATTTCCAAAGGTAATTTTCGTCTTGAATTTTTAGTCTACTGGGGGTAAAGATAAAGTTTAATTAGACAATCAGTCTATAGTTGCAAGGTTAAAAAGTTGCACGATCTTAGCAACATTGGAATTCTTGTGGTTCTTTTTTGCAAAATGCGATCCAATTATGCTTCGAAATTTCGACCGAATTTAGCATCGGTACTGAAAATCAATCAACTTCGTCCAAATTAACGTCGAACTTAGCTACATATTACTTGTGCTGTGTGGCTAAATAAAATGGGCAAGTGTAGGAAAATGCAACAGATTTTGTCGCGTGGCGTCACAAGCAGTGGCTGAATGAACAGACCCAGAAACAACAACAACAGCTCCCCAGAAAAAAGAAGTTTTTCCTCTCGAGAGGCCACGAAACTTCGCTTTTTTGACGAAAGGTCGTATCTCGATTTCCACAGGAGCCCCAGAAAGTATGGATTAATAAAGTGAGATACGTCCTTTTGTCAGAGGAGCGACGAAAAGGGTTGGTTAAACTCCATCAGGTTGTCAACGTGAAATTCCAACACAAATTGAACACCGTGCACGCCGTGAAATTACCTGCCCTACAAAGTCCCGCCACATTTTCCGGGAAAGAGTTTACTCAAAATTTTCCAGGAGAGAGATGTTTCCGCTCGTAACACGCTGTAGTGGGAGTTACGGTTTTTGTCCTGTAAATTTTGCAGTTCCCGAGTAGAGAAGCATTCTCATTGAAGCTCGCATTAATAAAAGTGTTGAAAAAACATAAAATGGCGGTATCAAATATGATAGTTCTATTTTTCCTCCGACAAATCGTTTTTCCAGCGTCGACCGGTCGTTAAACTTTTATGAGGTGAGCCTCAGAGCGCGGCGCACAGTGGATCGAGTCAATCGGAGAGGTCGGACATGAAATTTCAGGCTAAAACTGCAAATTTTAATGTTTATTTCGTCACATTTTAAACTTTGGGGGGTGTTTTTTGGAGAAAATTTTACGAGAAAATAAACGGAGCCACTTTTAGAACCTCGAAGTTTTGTATAAACGGAGTTATAAGCGTTTAAAGTTTCAAAATTTTGTCCGACCTCTCCTTTTGACTCGATCCATAGTGCGGCGGCGTCGTGACGCGCGGCGCTACTTTGAGCCGCGTCCAGTCCACTTGACTGTCGCTGCCGTTCTAAGGAAAAACGTCGTATGAACATCTGAGAGTTGCCAAATTTCCTCCGATAAAATGCTCATCTTTGAGGAGAGTTATGAATATTTCCTCTTGAAATGTACAGATGATATAGATCCGGTCGCGAATAAAATTCTCTAAAAAAAAATCGAAGAAAAATGTTCAAAGAATTCTCTGAAAATTCATACTTTATCAAAGGAAATTTGACAACGTCTGGAGGTTCATACGGCGTTTTTCCTTCGCTCGGCTCTGTGTATGTGCCACTTTTGACGGACGCATTGAGACTCTTCTCAAAGCTCCTGCTTCTGCAGACTGTTGAAACGAACCAGAGATTATTTTCACGAGAGCATGACCTACGAGGAAAGGCTATTTCGAGCCCCTTCATTTTCAGTGACCGCTAAAATAAAACATTTCATATTTTCCCTCTATTTTTGCGGTAAGTTTATTCAGGCATATCGAGCGGCAGGTGACTTCCGGTTTTAAACTCGCTCAGAATGTTATTTAAAGCAAATACGTTGGGATCATCGGATATTTATTAATATTCATTTGACAGGTGGGGGAGGGGAAGGGGGTGCAACAAGCTCCTTGTATGAAACCATTTATTAATCATCGGCTCATCAATTATTTACGATTTAGCCAGCATTGAATAAAACTCCAGCGCTCACCGAATCGAACTGATAACTTTTTCATTTTGCCCGGAACGAGCATTTACTATGAATATATAACGCATTTCGGCCATTGCCTGCATATAAAATAAAAGTAAACTGTATCGGAGCTAGAACTGCCAATGATCATTCAATTTGAACAGGGTGATAAAGAGCGCATATTCCTATTAAATAATAATAACAAAAAAAGGGAGGGATAGTGCGACCGTTATAATCAACCAAAGCTTAAAAACTGGTGTTCGGAGCTTTGCTGAAAATGTTGCTCTGTCGGACACAATTGAATTCTGTTTTGGAAGCACAGAGCAAAGGTCGTCAATATCTGGGCAAAGTATCACCGCCAAGGAAATATCCGCTGCCATTGTATTTTTTTACACAGAACATGTTGGTTGAACCTGTTTGAAAATTTCACTGAATTTTACCGTAGAGAAAAAGCATAAAGAAAATTGAGTGAAATTTTCGAACAGCTTCGTAGATAAATTTCTCTGTAAAAAAATAAAATGGCGATGGAAATATTGAAACGTCGTATGGCGCTTATGATAGGTACTTTGGCCGGAAGGTGACGAATGTGCGCATAGTAAAAACGAACTTGGATGAACTTAGCCTGGTTGGACGTCTGTGGTTGGTGGACGAACTGGTTTTTTATTAAAAATATGTTTACACCGTACATTAAGTCTCTTGACAAAAAGGGCGATAAATTTTTGAAATGTCAAAGGAAACCAGAATGGAATAAAAGTCAGGGGCAAGGCAGGAAAATCCGTGTACAAGCGAAAGTGCTGCCTCAAACAATATTGCATAATAGACTAATAATAGACTAATAATAGATTAATAATAGACCATCAATTGAAACATATTATTAATAAAAACGTCGAGTGAATTGTATTTTTCTTTTCTTTCAGGACAGGGACTCGAGCCATCAGTTATTTTGAGTAAAAGTCTTTTCCAGGTATACTGCGTGAAAAGTGAATGCTTGCATTCTGTTTTGCATTAATTGATTTTTAAGTTTAACATACATTAATGTTATTTAAAATACGTGCTTATCGAAATCATAAGAACCTCACATAACGACTTCATCCTCGATACCCTTTAAAAAACTTTCCTTGTTCATCCTTTTCCTTATTTTTGTGGAGCATTTTTGAGATTTTTCGTGCAAGTACACTGACGAGGTAGTTTTGAAACTGCGCTCTACGGTCTGAATAGCCTGGCACGAAAGAAAATTACCGTGTGATGGAAAATTGCAGATAGTAATCTTTGAATCCCCCGACACGCATCGTGTTCTTGGTGTGCAATGTAGTGACCGCACATTCACATATTTAAACCCTTATTCAAACTCCAGGAAACGTTAAATTGCTTTAAAACCTCTCTGATCCGAATCCCATCACGACTGCATCGCTGAAAGAAAGAATAATTGAATTTTCAACAGACACACACACATAGATTTTCTTACGAAAGAACAGGTTTGTCATCGTCATTTGCAACAAAAATTATTATTTTTGTCATCAGCGTTGGTTTTTTTTGCGTTCTACATCAGCAGATGTTGCTTACGGCTGGGATTGTCGGATTTGGCCCCCTCCTACATGCCTGCAATTGCAGCGTTTTTTGACGATAGAGGTTTACAATTAACAACAATCATTGGTTTTACTACTGATTGGTGTATCTCTCTAGCATAGAGTACATAGAGTCGTAATGTTAGTGGGTGAGCTGGCGCCACTTTTAAGCATTTTCCAGGTCCCGAATTCCGAGACTCCTGTGTGACGCCGGGTCACTTTTTCGATACATAATCGATTGTTTGCGATACACGGGTACCCGGCCATCCGATGTAAACAATGAAGATAGGGATCACCACGTACTCCGCACCGCCATCTTGGATCGAACTTGTATCGAAAAAGTGACCCGAACTCGGCGCACACCGGGCTCGAAACTCGTCGAGCAGAACATGGCGCCAGCTCTCCCATTTACATTACGACTCTATGTACTCTATGCTCTCTAGTGAGATGCACTGCCGCCAATATGAAAGCCAAAAATAGCCATAATTCACGAATTCTTAGAGTTTCATGTTATTTGACGAAAGCGCGAGGATGTAGTCGACCTCATCTTACCTCAAATTTTCCCGAAAATTTTGTCTGCAATTTTATAAAAAATATATACGAACTTCAAGGGCAAAATGTGCAAAACTTTCCTCAAAAATACTGGTTTTATCTAGGGAAATCTGGCAACTTTCGGATGTTCACACGGCGTTCTTCCCTAGCACGACAGGAGAGTTAGTGGCTAACAAATTATACAACAGTGGCGTGGCGTGGCGTGCTTTGCGATATATCGATTGTTATGTCATTTAAACCCATGGAAAAGGATCGATAAACAGGGTGTTCGCAGCGAACACCTTAATAATCGATTCTTTACCATACGTTTAAATGGCAAAACAATCGATAAATCGCAATTCACGCCACGCCACTGTTATACAAGTAACCATTTCCTTTCGATACATCGGGGTCCAGCCAAGTCTTTTTCTTCCCTATAAACATCCCTTTTTCAGACGGAATATTCCGAGCATATTTTTGTACTCTTGCCCAGAGGCCGGTTTTTAGGTCGGAGGAACACATAGTATTTGTTTAAGTCCGAGACGCTCCTGAATTACATGTTGCGCAATAGCTTAATACCCTGTGGTTGCTATATAAATAAAAGATAAAGAAAAAAAAAACATGTTGCATGTGCGTGCTCGAGTTGTTGAGCCTCAAGCTCCGTAACAAAAGACGTAGGAGCGTCGGACAGTAACAATGAGTAAACAGTGGAATGAATGGGAGGTTCAATGTTCATGTCGGGAGGGGTTTGTGAGGAGTGAAAGGAAGCTTGCAGATATTATAATCGGACACGGACACAACGTGAAAGCTCACAGGGAAGCCGCACAAATTCCCTCTCCGATTGATTTTCCTCTGCTTCTCTGCTTTCCTTCCTCCGTCTCCGCCAAATCCACCATTTATCCGTTTCTTTCACTGCTTTCACATTGCGATCCTTTTGCCACCCTCTCCTCTCTCTTCTTTTTGATGGGACCAGTTTGAATTTCACTCAATAATTTCGGTACACTACACTGAAAAAGAAGATTGGTAGAATTTACCATTCCCTCACGCTGTATCTCACACAGCGTCAATTCAGAGTCAATTCTGCCAGAAGAAAGGTAAACGTTACTATGTATACTGGTAAAGGTATAACCATTCCTCTGACAGAATCGACTTGAAGATTGGTAGAATTTACCATTCCCTCACGCTGTGTGAAATACAGCGTTAGGGTAAATTCTACCAATCTTTTTTTAAGTGTACTGTGTCAATGAAGAACTTCAGAAATTAAGATGATTCGTCAAGGTTTCTGACGTGGTTGAACTGACATGCGATATATCGCATCGAGAATGTCAAAAATCTCTAAAGATTCTGAATTTTCAACCCAAAAAAAGGACGGTTTCCCCACGCATGAGCATGTAAAGTCATTCTAAACCAAAATACTGGCAAAATCTAAAGGAATAAAATCAGAATTATTTTTAGAAAAAACCTAACATTCGATACAGTGTCGAGTGCGAGAATTTTTGCGAGTTATGTAAATTTGCCATCTTTACTTTAATGACTTTTATGAAAATTGGGTAATCTTCAGTTCAAGAGTCGGTGTATTCCATGTTCCTTGATTCAAATATCAATCGCTGTATGTTATTCTAGAAAAATAAAATATAAAAACAGAAATTTTATAACACCGCAACCGAAACACGCGTGAACCATTCAATCCAACAACTTAAGCATGATGCCCGTTGCATCAGCGGTGGTATGGATATGGGGAGGTATCAAGATAACGTGCCGTGCGATGGTGGATAACGACATCCACCATAAACTTTGAATGACAATCTCTTCGATTTTCTTCGAATGCCTTCAGTCTGACCCCATTATTTTGTAACCTTTAAGGAGTTCAACTGTCTCCGTGCCAAGAACAGAGAATATCAATAACATATAAAACATGAAAGGAGAACTAAAGTAGACGTAATAAATTCTGCTAAAAGGTGTCACCACAGCACCCAAGGATGTTAGCACCCTCGTCTCGAGTTAAATTGCAAGTCGAATTTGATTCACCTTCACACTAATGCATACAAGTAAGTCGCCTTTAAGATGAGATAGGATGATTTTGTCCGAATTGAGGCAAAAACTAAAAGGTGACTTAAAAAAAAATTGGAGGATCTGATCAAAATTTATCTCGCTAATTGTACCGTAAAACAAATCGTGGCATGAAAGGGATGAGATATTCATTAGTATACACACACATCTTGAATGCATATATTTACTATGAAATTTTTTGTTGAAAGTAAGCTCAACAAATTAAAGACACGTTATTAACTCCTGAAAAAAATACCAATTATGGCTGATTGGAACTTTCAGGAAGCTAAAATCCACCTTTGTATTAAAATGTTGAACTTGATGATCAGTTTTCTTTGGACGACGACGTTTCAGGAGAGACGTTTTTGGGCGTTATTATTTAACTTTCCCTCCAAATGTAAGCGACACTTAATTGGAATCATAGGGAGGAGCATTGCGAGCGCGGGTTCATGCATCGCGCCTTCAATTGTGCAGATGCAACAAGGACATCCGTCAAGCACGAATAGTTGTATCTCTGCGCCGTTATCAACGCACGTAAAATTGTCTCTAATTTCTAAATAAGTTCAGGTTAAGTTTGCTCAGAATTTGCTGTGATATATCGAAGTAAAAAACCCTTTTGGGAGGGGGGGGGTGTTAGAGGTCTCTCAAGCGCCCTAAAGTGCGCCAGTCTAAAAATGTTTATTTTGGCGAGAGTTGTGTCGTGTCAGGGAATTTTTTGTGACGAACACCCCAGAAATCCCAAGACGCGGGTCGAAGTAACCCGAGTATCTCTTCTGGGAAAGTTACATATGGCGCATGAGGAAGGGGGAGGGGTGAGAAAGCGCCAGTATGTCACCAAAATGAGAACATTTAAAAAAAAAAAACATTTCTTACCTCCAAAAACATAGAAATAATAGATGATACTTCAAAACTATCAAATTTAACGTATTTAAAAATGGGTAAATTTGACCCGACTTTCAGATATCTAGCCAGGGGCTGATTGTTGAAATTGATAGACAAAGAAGACATGGGTAGTATCATATCTATTCATACATCATATACATTGAAAAAGTGGCTCCTATAAACAATTGGAGAAAATGATGGACTATAATTATACAGTCGCCGTCAGTAAGTCTGTTACCTACCTCCTTTGTCCATTGCAACCATCCGCTTTCACCAACAGCATCCCCTTTGCCTTTTTTGTCTGTAGGTCTGTCTATTAATTTCAACGGTCAGTCCGCTGTGTTGAATGGACTTGCCCAGTTCTTTGACAGTGTTGTTTTTATCGACTGCTCTATGCTTTTATCTCAAATTTACCCGAATATATTAATTAGTTCAAAAAATGTGAAAATAGTGAGTGAATAGAATATGCCTTTTTTGCGAGTTTTTTAAGTAATGAAATTTGACTGTCAAATTAAACTTAAAGGCTTGCTTGAGTGCGGAGAATAATAAAAGAAACGAGTATCTCTAAGAATTTGTTCGTTCCAGCGCAAGTTCTATCGAGCGAGAATTGCGAGGAGCATATTTATATTTTCTCCTAAGATTCTGATCCCGGGAAAGTCTTCCGAGCCATTAGAAAGATTAAAATTCGCGAAATATCAAGCTGTTCCTTTGCTCGAACAGGGAGAAGACACGGGGAGAATAAGCTTGAGCATTTCAGCTCAAATTTAGGATTTCTAAAATGCTGCAACTTTGAAGCGAAGGGATAAATCCGAGATTTAGATGAATGGGGAGGTAGACTTTTCATACAGAAAATTGGGGTAGTTGAGGGGGAAAATGAGTCAGGTACATTTGGCGAGGGATGTACCGAAAAGGAAATTATTTAATCATTTCAAAGCAG